GATCCCTGGGATCCACTGATGCCTGAAGTTAGCAGGGAGAACACCATCAGAGCCTGAAAGTCATAGGATTCATTTTGGTATCTATCATGTTTTGGGAGCGTGACAGGTTGAATAATAACTGTGGAAGGGGAGGAACTGGCAGGTAACACGGATTTCAAGGCACCAGGAAGGGGACAGAGCACAGTGCTCTTGGGATTTTATTAATGGCAGAAGGTACCCTAAGAAGGACCCATCTGCCCTCTGACACTGCCCACTTGGCAAAGATGGGGAAAAGCAGCTATAGCTTCTCCTACTCTCCCCGATAAAGCAGAATTTGTCCCAACAACATTCTAGGAGGGAAAACCATGTCTGAGGGCCGTCATGGAGCACGTCTTGCAGTTGCTCAGCTGAAAGGCTCTGAAGCAAGAAACCCCGTACCACAAGGGACACGGTGGTGGTGCGCTGTGCCTCAGAGGCCCTGCAAAGCCCATGAATCCACTGACCCTCAGGAGAATGAGATCTACTTTGATAAAGGCATAAAGGCGAGCAGTCAAGACCTGCGGATCAGTTCGCAGGCTCCATAGATACATCCACAAAAGGTCCACCGAGAGGACTGAAAATATTTACTTGCTCAGCTGAGCTGACATCAAAACTTGCCAGACAGCGAACGTGGACAAAGCCTGAAGAATTGCCTGGTTTTGCCACGGGGGCTTGGTTGGACTCACTTCCCAGTTAATTTATTAGTGTGTTCAGTAAACACTCAGCAGTGCCTTGCTTGCCTCAGAGTCACGGGACTTAGGTAGGGAGGGACCTCTGGAGGTCCCTAGCCCAACCTCCTACTCAAAACAGGGGCCAACTTCCAAGGCAGATCCTACGGTTTGAGTGCTCAGCTGAATGGCTGGGCACCCCTCCAGCACACCATGTCCCTTCTTCCGAGGGGATCGTCCCTAGGGTTACAATCTCCATCCCAGGGGTACAACATAATCTCCAGAAGAGACCCATATAGGGATGTGATAGGCATGCATCTTCCACAGGAACGTTTTCATCCTTCCTAGCGGAACAGCATCAAGCATTTTTCTCGTGTTCCTGACCAAAACCTGGAGTCAGAACAGATACCAATAAAAAACGAGTTGAGGTGGCTTCCTGCCCCTTAGGATTTTTAATCTTACCGGGGAGATGTGTTTTGCTATCCAAAACCCATTCGGGTCCTGGGTAGCCTGAGTGGAAGGGAAAGGGCTTCATCACTGCTGTGCCAAACAAACCCTCAAAGCTAGGCTGTAAAGGTAATGCTGCTGGGTCAGCACGGAGGGCAGCAGAGAAGCTGGACACATCCAGACAGGCTGGAACAGTATCCCTGCTCCCTGGGAGGGATCAGCATGCTGCTGAAAGAGAAGTCAACATGCAGGCCTCATAAAACTAGATCTAAAATGCAAAAAAAAAAAAAAAAAAAAAGAACAGTGATTAGCTTTACTACACCTAGCAAATTAGCAAAAGGGTTAGTGAGCTTCCCGAGTTATCCTCAGAAGTTCCTGTGGTTTGTAAGGTCCCATGTTCTCCCTGGAATAAAATCTGCTCTATCCACAAGGCACGCTTTGGAAGAATCCGTGTAAAGAACAGTGCTAACTTTTTTACATTCAGAAATTCAGCACTTCATTAGCCTAACAGACGGTTTCTGATTACTCTTCTAAAAGGCAGGCAGGGCAGGCAGGGTATTACAAAGCAACTGGCCATGTAATGAGGCAAAAAATCCTAAATAACTCTTTAACTCTTCCCTCTTCCTAAAAATCCTTATTTTGGTACCGAGAAGACAAAGGAATCTGTATTTTAAAATGAAGAAGGATACTCAAGAATTACACTGATCCTGAAAACCTGTAAGACAAATCTTCCCTTTAAATTATATAACCTCGCAATCCTGAGGCGAAAGAAGGGAACCGCTTCCATTTTTACGTGTCATCTATCTTTAGTCCTCCAGAATGCAAAGAGATGCAAAGACTGCGGTATTACAGAAATGAGGCTTGAAATAATTTATACTGAAGAATTCCCACTGTCCCCTCCGACCAGTTATAAATATTGATGGGGTGTTTAAGGCAGCCAATCGCACAAATATTTAATATTCATACATACCGCACAAGGAATTCAATATACACTTCTTGTAGGCTCTTCCTTATGCAATGTTCAAGTGCATTACCTCTGTGGACGGCGACGCGATTTTATGACAGCAGCTGAGATCCTCAGCTGATGCAAAAAGCCTTCCTCTCAGAGGGTCGTCAAGCTCCAGATTACATGGGTAATGGCAGTATCAGAGAAACAGCTTCACTATTGACTCTTGCGCATAAATGGGGAAGAAAACAGATGCCACCCGTGGTTATCAGTAAGGAACTAGGTCGTGTCACAATGAAGCCAACTAACAGAGGCGACCACTTTTGATTTTTATACTTCTGCAGGGCGGCGTTACTGAACATGACACAGGTATGCTTTACAACCCTCCCGTGCTCAGCTCAAGTGCACGCAGCCAGAAATACTGCTCCAGCTAACGTATACTGCCCTCTCCCCAGCACCACTTTTCCTGGAACAAAGTACAAACCTGCGAAATGCAAGCTCACCAGAAACGACAGCGCAGTCAAGGGGGCTGGTTGACGGTTTAGAGGTCACAAGGAGAGCCCTACCAGAGAGAAACCATCTTCAGTTGCTGGCCCCCAGCTTGTTCCAGCCCTACGAAGGTATACAGTTGGTTCTTCTTGGAAAAATTTGCTCATATAAACAGATCTCTCCCACAATATGAGGAAAATTTCAGTGAGAAAGGTACGCGTCGATATTGATGGTAGTGTCTACGTATTTGTTAACAATACGACCCAAATAATATGCTTTCTATTTGGTTAAATTGCATTTGGAGACAGCAAAGACATTGTACTTAGCTATTTGATCATTACATTATATTTCCTTCCTTCTTGTTCTCAGTGCTTTGAGACCACGTATGCAAGCAGGTGAGGAAAGGATGGGTGAATTTCTCCCTTGGGCTGTGTCCTCTTTTGCACAGCTACAATCAGGCAACTGGGATGGAAAATACCAGTAGGTGCTATTAACTATCAAGTACTTATCGTTAAACATGGCAATGGCAATATAATCTTAGATGTAAGAAAATCTCCAGCTGCACATTGTCAGTAACAAGGCAACAATGCCAGAGGGAAAAAAAAAAAAAATCGGTCTGCATTTGGCTTTCCTTACACTCTTTTTTTTTACATATTCACTATGGGTCCCTGCTGGAAGAAGCATATCAGGGTGGATGCATCTTTGTTTTGGCCAGTTCAGCCATTCTTTTGTTTTATTTTCCCTCTTTTTTCAGACCAACAGGCTAAATTCTTAGGAGAAGTAACAAAACTGGGCTTCTACAGTAGTGAGCCGATTCAGCTCTCCAACTCCTTTGCTCCCAACATAAACTGCTGTTTCTGGAAGCACTTCAAGAGCCATTGCCTCCCACCTGGCTTTGGTGCAAAGAAGGGCATATTTGGAAGAGCCAAATTCAAACCTCGCGTGGGGAAAGGACCAGATGCCCCCCAGTGATCCCTTCCAACGGGAATGACCGTGACTCTAATTGGTAGAGGCAGCCAATGGAACAGGAGGCAACATCCACAGGCTGAGCCCTGGGCAGTTCAGACTGCAGATGAAGAAACACTTCTTCCCCTAGTGGAGGTGCAGCCCTGGGACAGGTCACCAGCGATGTGGGGGATCTTCGTGCTGGTTTTGGTTTTGGTTTTTTTTTTTTTTTTTTTACACCTCAGCTAGACAAGGGACAGCTGCCCTGACTTTGCATTAGCACAGCCTGCTGTGAGTGGGAGCTGGAGCAGATCTTCAGAGGTCCTGGCCACCAGCGCTGCTGTTATACTATGACACTCCCTCATGATAGCTTATTAGAGGAAATTTCATGTTTACGGTGTGAGAGAGGGAAGGCACAGCTGACCTTATGGCTGTTTTCTAGCATGGTGACGGTGTGTATGCTATGAAGGTGACGGGGAAAGTTTTCAGTGCCCTGCCCTGCAGGTACCAACATCACTGATGCCTGCAGACTGTAGGCAGGAAACAGTGAACCCCAACTGAACAAGGCAGACTGGCAGCAGAAGCCTCCCAGGTCTAAATCTGAACACGCTTTAGCAGAGTGAATTTGGTAATACTTAATAATTACGCATTAGGCAGCAGCCGATTATGAAAAATCCTTCCTGACTCTGCGACAGTGAGTCACAGTGCTTTGTAGGTCGCCACAAAGGTGAGTAGGTTTTCACCCCCACTTCACGGATGTGGCTAAACTTGGTCAACGTCTCAGTGTGAGCCAGGAACAGAACTGGGAAGGATTTCTGGCTCCTAACGAACTTAATTAAACTCGAATGCTAGCGCTTTTTCTTGCGCTATTCTATGGCAATACACTCTTGGTATATGAAATACATTTAATAAGTAAAACATAAACTTACTCAGCTGCCATCCTCCAGAAACAGACGAGAAGTGTCTGCCTTGTGGGATGCTCTCTAAGCTTTACCAAGCGGCTGTACTACGTGCAGCCATTTCAAGGATTTTCCATGATTATAAACGCACGCTGGCTAACTCTGAATTAGACTGAACAGCCTCGATTATATAAGTTATTACTACTTCCAAGCATGCTTAGTGGAAAGAACAGGAGTTGTAAAGTAATGGATGATGGGAGATAAATTGGCATGTGTATGAATCAATGTTTAAACAAAGGAACTCCAGCTCTTTCTTGGAATAGCAATATTTTGATGTTTCAAATCCCCTGACACTGGTTTCATAAACGCAGTAACGTAAACCATGTGCTGGGTGGTGATTTTCTGAGGACCTTCCTGCTTTCATTGTGTATTTTATTACAGGCCAAATGTGACATTAAATGCTATCCGCTGCGGCTTGGAGTTAAATACTTGCTCTGTTCAGAATAGCAGCACTCAATTAAACAGCATTTTTCATGATCTACACCCTCTATTGTCACTGTGTTTAAGGGAAATAATGGGAGCACTGACCTATATTGCGTTTCTTATTATCGATGGAGATGAAGCGTATGCAGGGATTATCGGTGATGTACTGTGCAGCCCAGGGGACATCAATCTGTGTACCGGCTTCATAAAAAAGTACCAGAGCGTAGCGGGAGGAGTAGCTCGCAGATTCCAATTGCTGCTTTTGACTTTCATTAATTACTGTGGAAAAAAAAAAAAAAAAAAAAAAAAAAAAAAAGGAAAATCAGACAATCGCTCTTCTCCCAGAACATTAAATATGTGAATGCTGTGGTTAAGCTGATTATTCCTCCCTGAAAATGACCAGACTGCTAAAACTAAGAATTTAATATTAAGCCTAGTGCTTTGTAATATTTTTTTTCTGGGACATCTCCTCATGAAGTTTTAATGGCACATTATGTAGAGTACGTCCTTCACGCACAACCCTCCCCCATCTGTTGGGGGTTTATCTCCCAGTTCTCCGTCAGCTGTCTCTGACTTGAAACTTTGACAACCGGTGACTTGTTTCCAAATGTTTTCTCAAAGGGTGAATAAACGGGAATAAGAGGTTTGGGTTGCCTCTAACACATCAAGAGAATGCTTGTATGACTCTGCAAAAACCCGAGAGACTTCACATATCAACAAAATGAACACAGGGACTCTCGAATCTCTGGGGAAAATAGCCCTGCAACTTCTGTCTTGCAATTCAAATGGATGAAGAAAACTCTGCACTTCATCACACGAAGGGTTCGTAGTGAAGTTCAGCTCCTTCAGCCGAAGGTATTTTAAAGCATTTTAGAAAATTTCAGAGTAAGCAGGAATTCATTCCTCCCTAACGATTAACTCTTCTATCTTCTAATTACAGTGAGATCTGCTTTTCGCCTCAATTTTATAAGCTTCATAAAAAGCTGCACAAAGTAGCATTAGCCCCATCATGCATTCAAATACCATTTTATTTAATGCCAAAGAGAAATGCAACGGTTTGACTAATCACGGAGTTAGGCACCGTGTCTCTCTTCCTATTACTGAATGGATGGCCAACGTTTCTGCGGGCCGGAGCAGGGTGTGCAAAGACAAAATCACAGCGGTCTCCTGCTTGTGCGTGCAACTGCATGCTCCGTTGGGCTGGTTTGGAGATGCGATATTGAGAGGCAAAAGAACAACCACCAAGGTGCTCCGCTTCATGCAAACCTCAGCTGAGATGCTGGACATCTGGTACGGAGGAAGGAGCAGCTGATGGCTACAGCCACCACGGCGCTTCCCGCAGGCAGCAGGCCGTGTGCTGAGTGGCATCTTCAGAAGGAGTCCAGCAGAAGTCCTGCCCCCAGGACAGGCCAGGCTCACACGTGGGGCAGGCTGGGATGGGCTGGAGGGGGCAGCTCTCCACGCAAGGCTCCGCAAGGCAAGAGGTGTCTGCAGACTCAGGCACACCAAGCTGGCCAGGAGTCAGGGCAAGGAAGGCCAAGCAGCCCGGTGTGAGAGCGTCCAGCAGGTCAAGGGAGGGTATTATTCCCCTCGAGTGAGGCCACATCTGGGCACGCTGCACCCTAGTACAAGGGAGACAACAACAAACTGGGTACAGTCCTGTGCAGGGTCACTACCGCGGTCCACTAAAGGGGATCTCCATTCCCAGGGACTGCCCTGACTCGCCTGGGCACAGCCCCGAGCCCCCTGCTCCAGCTGGGCTGTTGGACCTGCTGGGAGCAGTGTTAGGCTGGAGACCCCCACCCTGGTGACTCCAGGTGGAGTTGGTGGGACTGGGCGGTGCTGTGTACCTTACCCACGCCACGGCCACCTCCGCGGGACTCCAATTAATGTGCTGAAGCTGGCACGACCGACCTGGCTTGTCGTGACTAATGCTGCTCCCCAGAACTCGCAGCCAGGACGGCTTCATCACACACTCGCTCCACCAGCACAGGCTCCCTCCCCAGGAACCGATAATTCCTGCTCTGCCAAGGTGAGACTCTAGGAACCAGGGCTAGAAATAAAACCTCCGCGCACGGTGCCGTGACGCAGGCACTCCTGAGTCACACAGGGCCGGCCAGGGGCAGGGGTCCAGCAGCACTGGCAGAGTGTTTTCCAGCAGGATGCACATCTGAGAGCTCGTTCAGTCACGCTGAGAAGTAGCCGACACACCACCGGTCTACATGGAGGTCCATTCCCACCACCGCTACTGGCACACTCGCTTCTCAAACGGCATCAAGGCTGCCTGTGTTCAGAGTCTAGATGCAGGGGACAACGAGCAGGGGAAAGCGTCGTTCCTGAGCCAACCCTGGTGGAGAGGAGGGCTGGTGTCACCCCAGAGCTTATCGACCTGTGGGTGACCGCTTTAGCTGTGCAAGTCTCCAGCTGCTGAGCCCAAACTCCTTGTCGGGACTGGTCCATTACGGCAACATTTCCATGTGGCCTGCCAGAATACGCAAGGACGCAATTCATGTCCCTATTCAAGTGTCACCTGAGAGGCTCAGTAAGTAAGCCATGAAGTCTGCTATGTCTCAGAAGTTTTGGTGAATCACCAGAGAAGGTTCACCACGGGTATCAAGCTCGCTCTTCACAGTGACCTCTTCTACGGGAGGTCTGCAGTCACAGTCTCTCACCTGAAAACCCGCCACAGATATCTGCCCCGTCCTGTTGTTTCTCTAGTTGTGTATTTTTTTTTCGTGACGTCTCTCCACTCTATTCCTCAGCACATCATGGAGAAGACTGATTTCAGAGGCTGCTTTCTGCCTCCTCCACTGAAACACTGACTTCACATACAGAGTGCTCTCCAACTGAGGTTTCTGGCTGCTCTCCCCCACTTCACCACGACCTCTGCACCCACACCAGCCTTACCTAACCATCAGCACAGCAGAGGATCACTAGTCAGATTCCATCTCAAATGCCATCAGAAATAAACCTTGAAGTGCCCCCGGAAAGAACCCTCACCAGTTTTAATACAAATATGCTGTGGAACAGAAAAATGGCAGAAGAAATGGACAAAAAGAAACACTGATTGACCCATGAGAGCTGGAGAGAGGAAAGGAGGGGAGAAATAAGGCATCTGGCACTACGGGGGGTAGTGGTGGAGCTGCCCTGACAGAGGAAGCCAGAGGACAGTCCTGCCCAGGAGGGTAGAACTGGCTGAGCACGACAGGGTTTGAAGCTCCCTTTCCCTCTCCAGTCCAACGACCCCTTTGAAAAGGTGCTGAGGTGGCCCAGATGCCTCTCAGCTCACCCCTGCACCTAGGTCTTTCCAAGGAGGATCCGCTCCTCAACATGGACCTCAGGAACTCCTCTAAGCATTGGGTCAAAGACCCCTCGACCTCTGCTGTCAGCTTCCCTTGGCAAAGCTGCCTCCGTGTAAGTTCTGGCACGGTACGGTTCCCATTTGTTGTACTTCTTGCCTGTGACCAAGAGACAGTAGCGGTTTAGCACAGAGAATGCTGTCGGTACGCTACTGTCGTGAGCGGGCTTCTGCAGCTCTCTAGGGAAAAGCAACCCTGCACAATGTGCTCCAGAGAAAACCAGGGCGTGGTGGTTGCAAGAGCTGCTCTTCAAGGTCATTTCTTCTCGAGCGACCCTGAGCATGTCCCAGCTGAGGAACTGGTGGCTCCCATCTCACCCCGGGACTCCAGGTGTGATGCAGACCCCCCCCCCCCCCACCCCGTCTGTGTGTGCCACCCGGCCGGCCAGCTCTGAAAAGCTCTGAAAGCCACGGTGTGCAAAGCACCCTTCCCAGGCTCACTCTGCCTTGCTCTGGGCCAGGCTGCTCCCCGGGGGCCCGGGGTTCCTGGCTGCGCAGGGCTCCGTGCCAAACCTCCAGAGCAGCCTGGCAGGGCAGCCACCCCAGGCTGCGGCGGGGCGCTGGCTTTCGCCCCAACTTCTCGTGCCACTCAAAGGTTTTGCGTTGACCCGGGCACTGGCAGGACTCCCCCAGCTCTGTGAGTCTCCTCCATCCTTCCCCTCTTCCCCAGCTTCTCTCCAGCTTCTGCGGCCCCCGGGGACCGGGAGGTTTCACGGCGTGGCACTGCCGCTTGGCAAAGCGTGCGACGAGGAGGGGAAGGGAGAGGATTAAGCAGGGATGCGCGGCGGGCTGGAGGACTGCCCTGGAGGAAAGGACGCCAAGCAGAAGTGGACCTCGCACATCCCACCCTGCTGGAAATGTTCCCTGGCCTGTGCTAAATTCCTGCTCAAGCTGTGAATTTAACAGCGCAGGCACACGGTGCCAGCATCCGGGAACTGTCTGGGGGGCTCTCTGCTGCCAAGTCGGAACAGCGACGTTAGTGATTTGAGCGGTGCTTGTCCCAGTTCCTTCTGGCAGACCACGAGTGGCCCGGACGGGGAACAGAGCTGCTGCTGAACACACGCTGCTGCATGGCAGAGGGGACAGATCTTGTCCAGAAACGCCCCCAAACTCTTTCAGGCCAAAGGCTCTGCACAGCTGCGTTCTGAGATGTCCATCACCGCCAGGCCCCCCTTCTTACAGCTATGATAAACAATCACAATGTATTACGCATTCTTGCCCTGCTTTGAAAGAATAAAAAAGTCCTATAAACAAGAAAATAAATATGAAGCTGTAATATCCCATCTCAAACACTACCCTTTGCCCAGGTTACTCCAGCAACTCATCCCCCCTTGAGGAAAAAAAAAATAAACAAGACCTCCTCCAGCTTGCGAAGCAAGTTCCCCCGGCAAAGCTCAGCAGACAGAAACCTCTGCGCTGTGGGAATGCACCCGAGATAGAGATGAGCTGCCCAGCCTGGGGGCTGCAGGCACCGAGCTGCCCGTGCCTGCACCTTGCCTCTGCTCTGCAGCAGACGTGGGCTGCTCCAGCAGAAGGGACCGGTGGGTTTAAATCTGCTCGGGTAAACGGTTTATTACACGGTGCGCTCCAGCAGGTACAACCTTCAGGGCGTTGCCAAAGCCAAGCTGGCCAGCTGGCTCCAAAGTACCTCGCTGAAGACTTAACATCACTTTATGGACCCGTCTTCCTAAGCTGTAAAGTTCCAGAAAGTGTTAGGGGTCAGTGGGGATGAATGCTGAACAGCAGTGCAGATAAGTTACAATTTTATCAGCTTTTAAGTATACATGTACACATGGAGCTTGGCCGGGGCGATGCTGGGGAAAGCAGATGAAGGAAGGCAGCGAGCCCAGCTGAGCAACCTCCCTCCCCGGAGAGGGGAGAAGAGGGAGGGCAGGCAGCTTCGAGGGTGCGGGCACCAGCC